CATCTGCCAAGAACGTATATGAACAGGTCCCAGTCCGAGAAAAGGATGGAAGGATCCTGTTCATATGAACCTGTCGTCAGACAGAACACTAAATAATATAATAATAATACTAAAATTTAATAATAACTTTTCGTTTATTTAGAAACCAACATTTAATTTTATAAATATATCACAAATTATGTGGTGTTAGATAGTTAGTTACTCTCTCTCTCTCTGTATTTATTATTTTTGTTTCAAATCTCGCTATTCGCTTGGTCGGTAAAGATATGAGAGTTGTGGGAGCCGCGTATCTAAACAGGATGTTTCATAGCCGGTCTGCGTTACGTCGAGATGTGATTCGGCACAGTAGGAAATCTTAAACAACACCGGTCATATTTCTGACTGTTGCAGAGTTAAGGCAGTTTTGTGGTGGTCGCATGTGAAAGTAAGTACAAGTATTAATGAATTTATTGATACATTTTTATCAGATACGTCTTATAAGACGTCCAGGACCCCCCCCCCCCCCACACACCCCAGTACACATGGAGGCCCCCATTCGCCCAGGAAATGTGTCATGGTGCTTCAATGTAGTGCAGAGGTTAGGAAAGTTCCCGTACCCGGAAGAAACTTCTACTTCACTTAATTATACGTTATTGTCTCTGACGAGCATTTGGAAACATTCGTACTACTTAGGCATTTAAGCAGTTCGCGAACACAAAGAGTCCTGTAGACCAGTGGTATTCAACCTGGGGTACGCGAAGACATCTTAGGGGGAATGTGAAATTTTAAAAAATGTATATTATTTTATCATAAACACTGAATAATCAGTAATGTAATTTATTTATTTTATTTTAAATGTAGATTATATGCTATGTATAACTTGAATTACACACCAACAACTTTGGGGGTACAAAGTTGAAGAGAAATTATATCTGGGGGTACGTGAAATTTAAAAAAATATATTATTTTATGATAAACACTGAATAATCAGTAATGTAATTTATTTATTTTATTTTAAATGTAGATTATATGCTATGTATAACTTGAATTACACACCAACAACTTTGGGGGTACAAAGTTGAAGAGAAATTATATCTGGGGGTACGTGAAATTTAAAAAAATATATTATTTTATGATAAACACTGAATAATCAGTAATGTAATTTATTTATTTTATTTTAAATGTAGATTATATGCTATGTATAACTTGAATTACACACCAACAACTTTGGGGGTACAAAGTTGAAGAGAAATTATATCTGGGGGTACGTGAAATTTAAAAAAATATATTATTTTATGATAAACACTGAATAATCAGTAATGTAATTTATTTATTTTATTTTAAATGTAGATTATATGCTATGTATAACTTGAATTACACACCAACAACTTTGGGGGTACAAAGTTGAAGAGAAATTATATCTGGGGGTACGTGAAATTTAAAAAAATATATTATTTTATGATAAACACTGAATAATCAGTAATGTAATTTATTTATTTTATTTTAAATGTAGATTATATGCTATGTATAACTTGAATTACACACCAACAACTTTGGGGGTACAAAGTTGAAGAGAAATTATATCTGGGGGTACGTGAAATTTAAAAAAATATATTATTTTATGATAAACACTGAATAATCAGTAATGTAATTTATTTATTTTATTTTAAATGTAGATTATATGCTATGTATAACTTGAATTACACACCAACAACTTTGGGGGTACAAAGTTGAAGAGAAATTATATCTGGGGGTACGTGAAATTTAAAAAAATATATTATTTTATGATAAACACTGAATAATCAGTAATGTAATTTATTTATTTTATTTTAAATGTAGATTATATGCTATGTATAACTTGAATTACACACCAACAACTTTGGGGGTACAAAGTTGAAGAGAAATTATATCTGGGGGTACGTGAAATTTAAAAAAATATATTATTTTATGATAAACACTGAATAATCAGTAATGTAATTTATTTATTTTATTTTAAATGTAGATTATATGCTATGTATAACTTGAATTACACACCAACAACTTTGGGGGTACAAAGTTGAAGAGAAATTATATCTGGGGGTACGTGAAATTTAAAAAAATATATTATTTTATGATAAACACTGAATAATCAGTAATGTAATTTATTTATTTTATTTTAAATGTAGATTATATGCTATGTATAACTTGAATTACACACCAACAACTTTGGGGGTACAAAGTTGAAGAGAAATTATATCTGGGGGTACGTGAAATTTAAAAAAATATATTATTTTATGATAAACACTGAATAATCAGTAATGTAATTTATTTATTTTATTTTAAATGTAGATTATATGCTATGTATAACTTGAATTACACACCAACAACTTTGGGGGTACAAAGTTGAAGAGAAATTATATCTGGGGGTACGTGAAATTTAAAAAAATATATTATTTTATGATAAACACTGAATAATCAGTAATGTAATTTATTTATTTTATTTTAAATGTAGATTATATGCTATGTATAACTTGAATTACACACCAACAACTTTGGGGGTACAAAGTTGAAGAGAAATTATATCTGGGGGTACGTGAAATTTAAAAAAATATATTATTTTATGATAAACACTGAATAATCAGTAATGTAATTTATTTATTTTATTTTAAATGTAGATTATATGCTATGTATCTTCGCTTGTAGTTTCCGGTTCATTAATTATAGTCTGTCCTCAAGTTATATAGAGCATGAGCTACTGATAATGTCGCTAAAAAATAATGAAGTTACGAACGAAACACGCGTTTTGCATTTTGCTTAGACAGTGGTAACTTGTAAACGGTTGTGACACGTCCTTAATTTTGCATGTGATTGGTGTCTAAAAATATCTGAAACTTTTCTTGTTTTCAAAACAAAGATTTCGTTGTCTTAGTAATGGCAGTTTTGGTAGTGTAAGATTGTTTTAAATGGTGAGTAGATAGGGATTTGGAACAAAAAAGGTTGAATACCACTGCCTGCTTCAGTAAAGATTGCGAACCATTTTAGAGTTTCTTTCGACGCTAGAAGGAGACTGGTCGATGTAGCTGTCGATTATGGTCTTCTGGGATGTGAAACCGTGGTTACTGACGTTTCGGGATAACATCCCCTCCATCACCAGTGTTTGACCCAGAATCGACGAGAAAATAAATGAGCATTACAGAATGATAAATTATTTAGTCCTGTCTCCCTCAATTTCTGCCTTACCCAGCTGTAAATCATTTGGCTGATAATGAACTCGAATGCATAGTCTCGGCCCAGGATTCGCCTATTCGAAGGACTTACGTGGCCTTTGCCCCACTAGGCAGACCTTAAATTAAGCTGCCTTCGCTTGTAGTTTCCGGTTCATTAATTATAGTCTGTCCTCAAGTTATATAGAGCATGAGCTACTGATAATGTCGCTAAAAAATAATGAAGTTACGAACGAAACACGCGTTTTGCATTTTGCTTAGACAGTGGTAACTTGTAAACGGTTGTGACACGTCCTTAATTTTGCATGTGATTGGTGTCTAAAAATATCTGAAACTTTTCTTGTTTTCAAAACAAAGATTTCGTTGTCTTAGTAATGGCAGTTTTGGTAGTGTAAGATTGTTTTAAATGGTGAGTAGATAGGGATTTGGAAAATAGATACCATCCTGACATTTGCCAGCAGAATCTGATGGTTAGCTGTTTCTGGATTATTCAGTGGCATTGTTTTGACTACTGTATTTGGTGTCAAATGAGATGGAAAGTAATGAATTATGAGTATGTATGACTTTTAAGAAGCCTCATATAGCCAGTTAAAAAGCCTTGAGAGACTGAGGATCAGTTGCTACATCTCGTATGGAGCTTCAAATGAGGTCTGAAAATTATCATGAATTATCAGTGGGCAAGCCTTTGAAACGAGGAAGTCATGTTCTTTGGTATTCTCATGCTGGATACTGGGAACGACCCGTTCTTCAAGTGCCTGAGCACTGCGGGTCCAAACTTTTTCGTTGGCCTGATCTATAGACATTTTGGTAGGACTCCTTGGATGAGGGATCGGCCCGTCGCAAGGCCTATACCTGTACACAGGACAGCACAACACAGAACAACATCCATGGCTTGAGTGGGATACGAACCCACGGTCCCAGCGACCAAGAGGCACAAGGCCCACGCCTCAGACCGCATGGCCACTGCGGACCCCAGTATTGTCATAGATAGACAAAAATGAAAAATTATGAAACACTGAGGATAGATTATGGGACCCTGAGAGATAACATTTTCAATCATATAATGAATAAATTCATTCAATGACTTTGATGACTATGAAATGTACATTTTGAGTTCAGATATCCGTTGAGAAGACTGTGACCGCTGCGTTGTAGGACTGAAGATCCGCTTCTGTTGAGTTCTGTGAATTATGATTAGCTGTCACAGAAAATCACATCTGGAATCAGATTTCAAGCAGTTCTTAACCCACTGGCATGAATATAATTTTAGGTACTTGTGGGTTGTCGGGAGTTCATGTGGCGGCGTACAAATGATAACGGCGATATTTTTAAAACGATTTTAAAATCTATAAGTGAATTTTGGCCTCCGGAGACAGGTTGTAACAATTAACATATCATGCATATCAAAATAAAATATAATAATTTGTCATTTATTGAAATAAAAATATAATAACTTTCAAGTATATATCATTTATCCACACACATTAACCTAACATAACCTAAGATAACCAAACCTAACCTAACCTAACCTATTTCTAAAGCGATGTGTCCCGATAACCCACAGGTACCTAATTTATTTAATTTGCCCACGAATATTTGCGCACAGTTTATAAGATTCCAAAATAAATGCCTCAGAATCACCCCAGAAACTTATATACATACAAGCCACATCTCATTTCTTACAAGCAAACTATTTAAACTAATAATGCATTTAATATAGTTTTCCTTGGGAGCTGGGATTGATCAGTCAGTATTGCGAAATAGACAATTGTCAAAATGACATGTTTCTTAGGAAATGCGCATTTTTGTGTTTTTCAGGCATGAACTTCCAGTGCCTATGTTTAGCCGCAATGATTTCTCCATCTGGTCTGTTCTAAAGAATTGTATTGGGAAGGAGCTCAGCAAGATCACGATGCCAGTGATATTCAACGAACCACTGAGCTTCCTGCAGCGCATGGTCGAGTACATGGAATATGCCCACTTGCTAAGACGTGCGGCCGAGGAAGCCGACCCAATTTACAGGATGCAGGTAACATTTTTGTTGGAAAACCCGAAGGAGAGAGACCACTTGAAAGACCTAGGTATAGACAGTATTAAAATGGTTCTTGGGGTGGTTGTTTGGGTTAGTCTGAGGATCGTGACCATTGGTAGGCTCTTGTGAGCGTGGTACTGAACCTTCAGGTTTCATAAACGCTGGTCTCTCAAGAACCACTCTGCTCTGCGGAGTTAGATCGTTACTTCGTTGGTACCGTATAGCATCTTTAGAAGAACTTTGTTAGATTGAGTTGCTTACTAGTCTTGTTTAACCTCAATTTTATTTCAGATTGAGCTTATTTTAATGTTTTTTTTTATCGACATATCATACAGTAAATTTTATGTGCCAAAATTTATAGCTCTCATCGAAGCATAAAACTTTGAAACGTGTTTCAATCTGGCAAGTACTTGATATGACGGAAGTGGAAATATGGGATGATCTTCTTCCTGGAGACCCAAATTTTCAGCAGTAAAGCCATGGTAGTAAAATATTCTAGGTACATGCCTTAGTCCTCTTGAAACTGCATTTTGGACTGTACTCGGCTGGTACACGCATTCTTCAAATGTTTCATTGTGCAGTACTCGGCCTGTTTTATTCTTGAGATGGAAAAATGTACTTGATTGAAGGGTGTATGATCCACAGACAAACAGGTTCTCTTAACGGGTTCATTTGGGCGGTGCCATCGAATTGCTATATTAAAAAATTTATGAGAAAAAAATAGATGCTGTGAGAAACTTCATGGATCGTTATTCATGAGGCCAAAAGCTGTCTCTTCAGATGGTACAGGACATAAGGAAGCAGATCCTTGTGTCACCAAATAATTGCATGCGCTTTGCGAAGAGACCTTTCTACCCTACACCACGCATCAGAGCGCTGCTAAGATAACTGATGATTCAGGAGTTTTTTCAGTATGCAAGGAAATATGTATGCATTTTTGTGCACTATTTCAAAGGTTAATTAATGGTGCATTTCAGTGAATACTTGAACTCGCAGAACACGCATTTTCGGGTGTTGGGAAACCCACATGTAAACCATGTGCAAATATCGTGTTCTTTAAGAAATGGCGTGTGGTGTGCCACTTTCTACATCAAAATTAATGGGCCACACCTTGACCACACGTTGAAAATGGAAGATTACCTTACAATTTTAAATGTGTTTCTAAACTGTTTTGACCGATGATGCTCTAACTACTACCTACGCCCAGTAAGATGTCAGACATCATATGCAGACATGAGGGAAATTTAACCAGGATGCCATGAAACTCCTTAAAAGGCTAATAATTAGACTGGAGGGCTGCATATGGAGACGCCTTTGCATGTTAATCAGTTGATTCCATTGATGTGTCTGAATGCAAAAACCTTTTAACGTTTGATGAGTCCCTTTGTTCGTAACATGAAAAGGCAATTTAAATTATTGTATGCAGATTCATTTCTTAGAAATGATAATCAGGACTTGTGATGTAGATGAACCTACCATCATCACTTTCAGGTTCATTATGGTTACCAGTCATGTTAGCACTTCAAGGTTAAACCCTCAGACACTTATTAATGTGTTGTTATTATTTCTTTGTATGTTAAATGAGGGGCGGTATGAAGCGTGGGCCTTGTGCCGCTTGGTCGCTGGGACCGTGGGTTCGAATCCCACTCAAGCCATGGATGTTTTTCTGTGTTGTGTTGTCCTGTGTACAGGTAGAGGCCTTGCGACGGACCGATCCCTCGTCCAAGGAGTCCTACCTAATGTCTATAGATGGAGCCAACGAAAAGTTAGGACCCGCAGTTCTCAGGCACTTGAAGAACGGGTCGTTCCCAGTATCCCAGTATATTAAATGAAGATTCAGGATTCTCATTTAAATTTATATTGATTAGTTTCAGTTTAAACTGTCAAATTAATGTATTTCACCCTGGAGTGGGCTTTGGGTACAACCAAGCGTCTCTCCTTCTGTATGTTTTCCCATAACTCCTCCTCCTCCATATACTGATATGGGCTTGTATTGACTTTTCAATGGGCATATTTTTTCCCTTTTGAGGCATTTAACATTTCCATTTCCTGCATATTTTATTTTCTCTGTAATTTCTCCTTTTACGTTTCCTTTCTTCTTATTATTATTCAGTGTTCTGTCTTACGACAGGTCCATTGCTCTGCCCAAAAAGAGCTCTCCAGTTGTCCCTATTCTCGGCTTCTCGCTTTAATTCCTGGAACGTCATCTTCTTTCCTTGTTTAAGGT